CCTGTTCAGGAATATGTGGCTACACACAATAAAAGAAGCCAACCTCAGGCTGATACACTGGTATTTGGTATTGCAATCCAATATTGTCCAGCATCTGCACATGACAGCCCAGACTTCTTATGGGAAGCAGGGGGAACTGAATATGCAAGAGTGGGTCTCAGTCTACATTCCTGGAGGGGGAGATACTTGACAGGATAGTCTGGATCATTAAGAGGGAGCAGCCCTCCTGAAGAAGTCCCCCTGTTGGTAGGCATTTAGAAAGTAAGGGAGTAAACCGCTAGCTGCTTAGAGGAGAGAACAGGGGAAAAGTAAACTAGGTGAAGGAATTAAACTATAATATTCCCTAGTTTGGAGATTAGGACACTGTCCTGTGATGAGAGAGATATGGGCTCAAGTCTTTTTGGACAAGATAGGAGTTTAACATCAGGGTTTCCAGAATCCTTTAAGTAAAAGAGCATTAGCCTTTTCCCCTATGTCCCAGTTCTTAATATAGCCTGAAAAAAATCAATCAACATTTTATTTAGTGAATTTAAGCCAAAGTTGAAAATAGTTTGGGGTTAACCAAACCAGCATTTTTTGATGAGCAGACTGCACCAAAACATATTTGCATAGGCCTCATAATGAGCAGTCATGCTATTAATGTTGCATGATATTTATTCTTCATTACTAACAAAATTGTTCCTTTTCTCAGAGAGGTGAGAGTATTAATTTTTTTGCTCATTGAGCCAGATGATTCTATTACTGTACTTTATTTTAAAAACTTTTTTTCATTTAAAAAATACAAGAAAAAGTCACAGGAATGTTATTTTATAGTCAGGGGACCAAACAGAGCATTAAAATCTATTGTACTGCACTGCGGCAAACAAAAGACTGTTATATGTAAGATAAAATAGAAGAAAGAGTGCTATTCACAATAATGACAGCTGAGATAAGGTAATACAGCTTCCTCTGAAACTAACATATTGAGGGATGTAAAGATAGTTGAATGATGGTATCGGTAGTGTTTGGCAAACTGCTCTAAGCCAAGATTTTCTTGTCACATATTGAGTCCAGACTCATTCCTTCCCTGGGGTTTGCCTTTATTAGCCAATTCACAATAAATTAACAATAGTTGAGGCTTTTTCTCATGCTAGGCTGTTCTAATGTTCTTACCTCAGCCTGTGCACACTTTTTTTTTCTCCCAGAAAGCCATTCACACTTCCTTTCTGTCTCAGTAAGGTAATGAGCCAATTACATCAGTGAGTCAGCAGCATCTACACAATTCTTTCTCAGCCAGACTGCAAACTTTCTGGGGTGCAGGCTTTTTCTCTTTTTTTTACTACATACACTTTGCATATGTGCATGATAGGGCTCTGATCCTTAACAGATGCCTTTATGGGCTACTGTAATCAAAAAAAATTATATCAAGTAAGTTGCCAAGGATATTCAAGAAGTCTGTTGTTGCAGAGGCAAGACTTGAATACAGCTTCTTTGACATCTAGATTCATTCTTTGTTATTTGGTCATTCCTCTCAATTACTGTCCGCATCTTTTGGTGTGCCCTGGTTGGTTCAGCTCCAGTTATATCAGTGAACTTGGTTTAGAGCCTTTGGAAATTATTGAGGTAAGATGCAACAGCACAACTAGTTGGGGAAAAAAGCTTTAGAAAACAAACCTTCCCCTCTGCCTGTTAGCAAAAATCATTTTACATATATTTGATTAAAGGTACTTTTTGGAAACCATCCCAATGTTGATGTATTACAGACAAAAACTAATTATAGATATTAAGCAATTTATCTGTATATGCCTTTTGGATCACTTTTGTGATCCAAAGCCTAGGTGTCTCTGTAAAGATGGGTGTGATGGGTCATTTAATGTGTTATTTCACTCTTGTAATTACCATATAACTTTGGACAGGATTTTGATTAGGTTAGACTAGATTAAAGATCTCAAAATCACCTGTTGGATTTTGTCTGAAAGAAAAATAAAGTATCATGTCCCATACCTCACCCATCACAAAGTTTTTGTCTGAAAGAAAAATAAAATATCATTTTTCTATGTTTTGAACTATTGACTTGATTCTGTGTGTTGATTCATTTATAATTTTTAAAAGGTTCTGCAAATTTAAGACATAGTACATAGTGTATTCATCAGAAGAACTCCCCCCAGTTGTTTCATTCTGCTTTAATTCTCCTCAAAATCAATAGGCTAATGTGTAGTCTAAGGCAGGCAGAATAAAAAAGAGTTAGATATATCCCACTACAAGTGAATTGGTCACTTGTGTGCATGGAAGTACCCCATGTGAATTTAATGTGAATACCTACACCAATTAGGAAACCAGCTATTTTTAGAGTAGTTGGAAGTTTCCCTAGGCCCCGAATATCTAGTATTTGAAGTAAAGGCATATAAACACACAGCACACTTTATGATAGCCAGAGACTGATCTAAAGCTCCTTGAAAATCTTCATTGACAGGGATCCCTGTTCCTCAGACGTAAAAAGGCAGGCATATTGTTCAGAATTCAAAGTCTGGCAATGCTGAAGTCTACAGTACTTTCATTCTGCCAGGAAAACTTTGAATGAAGCCCCTGTGGTGGCAGATCCCTCCACCCTGCTGAGCAAGTTCTGTATGCCTGCAAAGTGATGTGAAGCTTGGGCTACTATAAGAAGGCATGTGAATGAAGATGGTTCTGCACCATGAACTGGCTGCTACGGTCTGGTCAGGGGTAACATCTTCCCCAGAGTTCACTTTACATCCTAACAGCACAGGTGCTGGGCAGAGCTACACAGAGCCACCAAAAGCACGCAGATGTGTGCATGCTCTGAAAGGTCGGGGTAGCAAGAACTTTAGGAGGTAGAAGCATGGGGGTATAAACATCATCTGAGTAAAGCATAAAAACAAAATACCCAAGTCCCTGGCCTGTTAACCAGCAAAGCCCTATACCTCCTTTGTACCATCTCCAGACATGCATATGTAGCAATGTATTCGTTATTTCAACTAAATCTATTATTAAGATTTGACCAAAGTAATCCACATATACTAAAATATGCTCAGCTGACATGAACTGGTCTTCCAAAAATGACAGAACCTCATTGGCCAGGTACTGAATAAACATGTAGGGGACAGAAAAAAAAATTGCTCCCAAAAGCTCACAGTCTGACTGTGAAAGGAATTAAGGGTGTGTGCGG